AGTTGGTGTATCAGGGACAAAATAAGGGATAATAAGTCTGTATCAGGGTCAAAATAAGGGATAATAAGTCTGTATAAGGAACAAAATAAGGGATAAAGTTGGTGTATCAGGGACAAAATAAGGGATAATAAGTCTGTATCAGGGTCAAAATAAGGGATAATAAGTCTGTATAAGGAACAAAATAAGGGATAAAGTTGGTGTATCAGGGACAAAATAAGGGATAATAAGTCTGTATAAGGAATAAAATAAGGGATAATAAGTCTGTATCAGGGTCAAAATAAGGGATAATAAGTCTGCATAAGGAACAAAATAAGGGATAAAGTCTTTGCTGATGATGGTTAATGCCGAGGAGCTCTTGAGGTCTCGTTGAGGGTAGAGTAATAACAAAGTAAAAGAGGAAGAAAGTATCAGTGAATGAGGGAAGTAACAGTGAATGAGGGAAGGAACAGTGAATGAGGGAAGTAACAGTGAATGAAGGAAGTACAGTAACAATGAATGAAAGGAGGTGTCTGTGTGTGCGTGTGGTGTTGGGTTGGACTCGGGTACTGAGGGTGAGGCGACAAACGACCGCTGGAGATCTGACTGTGCGCGGTAAACACCACAGCAGAACACAGAGGTTACAGCAGTGTGAGTGACAGCAGGTAAAGGTAGAGGGTTTGTATTACTGCAGGAGAAGGATTGAAAGCGCCAAATGTTAAAATAAATAGAGGTTCGGGGCCCGCCATATTCGCCCTTGATAACGATGGAACACGCCGAAAGTTTCTGAAACTCACACCAGAATTACACATTAAAGCTTTACCAGAATTTTATGGACCCTGATAGAGGCAAGTAATATTTAGGAACAATATTGTGGCGTTAAAGCTCCTCATATATAAAGGAAATCTATTACATACTGTAATTTTTGGTGATAAAGCCCAGGGTACCGCGCTCTCCTTAAAGTAATACTATATGCTTCAATATAATACTTTCTGTTTTCAAAGTTTATTAGAGGAAACAGGGAGCTAAAAAAATATATTTGTACAAACTTGTTCACTAAATTTACAGCCGCGGAGCTGAATATATTCAAGTACAAAATATCTGTAAAAACACATAGAGACTAATCTATTTTTCGATAAAAATAAATTTAAAATGCATACTTTTTGTTTTAAATCCCGTTGTGCACTGAGATCAATAACTTTCACACACACACACACACACACACATTTACCTCCATGTACACACGCACAAATAATAGTCTGTAAAAATAACACTGAAAATGGGTAGAAGCAATCAAACTGACTCACTCACTCAGATAGACCACCGTGATGTACTCAGCTGTGGCACATATTGCTTGGCATGAATAATTAAAAACATTACGTAGAATTGGTGAGTTCCGCTGCCCAGGGTCTTGACGTCTTGTGACCACCAGGTAAACAACTATCACATTCTAAGTTAAAGACAGTTGTGTAATACATCTCGCTTTGTAACCTAATACAAAGTGGAGTCTATGTTGTAATGATCACTAATATAATAACAATTTCCTGACATCAAAAATTTTACTAAAATTTGTAAGGTCCTAAAAAAAATTTTCTCAAGACGTAAAGACAAAGGAACAGACGCGCGCTATCAGCCTTCGTCAGTAATAGCTTCCCCGCCAGACAACCCGGGCCGCCACTCTTCAAGTCATCACATTCCTTCACTAATTCCGTCATCTTGGATGCAAATTGTATTCATACGGAGCTCTCTTCGTCTACTTACGGCGCTCAACATGTTATCAAACTTTGAAAGGGTGTGCGCGGGCTGGCGGGGCTCTTCTCTGGGTAAACCTTCAGAGTGGCTGATGCACGAGAACTTCCTCCCTCCATCCCCGCCACACAGCCACGCGCACAGCACACTCACATCTCTTTAATAACCAACAAAACTATCCTTATCTCATCATCAACGAGTAAATGTTTTACATAAATTTACCATGACAGATACTTAATGGACATGAACATAGAGAAATACACATTACCTGACAACTACAGTAGTTCTTCACTTCAACAGCCAACAAAACTATCGCCCAGACCTAAACCTATGAGGCCAATCTATTCCCTCCGGTAAAATTTACTATGAGACATTACTTAGGTAAATCCCCATGTAGATTTATGTAAACAGCTGCATTAAAGATGCAACAACGATTTGCTCAACTAATTCTCTAGTCTATCAGAGAAGGAAATAAGATATAAAGTAATATTTGCTGGGGCAAACCCACTCCAGTATTCAGGAATACATCAAACCAAGTCAAATAAATAAATATGTATCGTTCCCAGTCGGCAGCGAGGCTCGCTAGCTCCCCCTCCCCCCACCCCCCCGGGACCCCACTTCTTACAACCAGTCTACATCAAGCCAGCTTCCACTCCCTTGACAATTAAACCCATTTCACAGTTTCATATTTTCCTGGCATTTTCAAGCGATAATGCCGGCAATTTGAGTTCCTATTAGCTAGCTCCTCGTCTCCATGGAAACGTGAGTCCCGAGAGAGGGCGAGCTGCGCCGAGGGTTGGATATGATTAATATGAGTCTGCCCCGTGGGGGCCATGTTACCCGCCGCCATCACTCCTGCTCCCCCACCACACAACCCCGCCTCCCCTTATCCATGGCCCCGTCCCCCACCACCCACGGCCGTCCCCCACCACCTACAACCCCGTCCTCCACAACCCCATTCCCCACCACCCGCGGCCCCGTCTCCCACACTCACAACCCCCACCCCCCACCACCCACAACCCGTCCACCACCGTCCCCCACCACCGCAGCCCCGCTCCCCACCACCCTGGCCCCGTCCACCACCACCCCACAGCCCCGTCCCCCACCACCCCGCGGCCCGCTCCCCCACCACCCTGGCCGTCCACCACCCCTGGCCCGTCCCCCACCACCCGCGGCCCCGCTCCCCACCACCCTGGCCCATCCACCACCACCCACAACCCATCCTCCACCACCCATCCCCCTGTGACCCATCCCCACCACCCGCAGCCCCGTCTCCCTGCAGCGTCCCCCTACCCACAATCCGTCCCCCACCACCCGCAGCCCCACTCCCCCACCACCCACAACCTCCCCACCCCACCACCCACAACCCTGTACCCTACCCCGCGGCCCGTCCCCCACCACCCCGCAGGCCCCGTCCCCCCCACCACCCGCAGCCCCGCTCCCCCACCACCCACAACCTCATCCCACCACCCACAACCCTGTGCCCCACCACCCGCGGCCCCGTCGTCCCCACCACCCGCGGCCCGTCCCCACCACCCCTGGCCCCGCCCCCCTTATTCATGGCCCCGTCCTCACCACGATGACAACCTTGGGTGCGATGACAGCCTTAGGTGCGATGACAGCGCCAGGTACGATGACAGCATGAGGTACGATGACAACCCCCTTGAGTTCGATAAGCAGCACTTAGTACGATGACTTAACCCCTTGAGTACGATGACTTAAAGTATAATATCATCGTACTCAAGCCACCAGATGATGCACGTGAGGACACTCCAATGTTTATACTACTCAAAGTCTTCAGCAAGTTGTGGATCTATAACCTAACCTAACCTAACCTAACCTAACCTAACCTAACCTAACTTAACCTAATCTAGCCCAACAAAACATAAAGCTTGTTAGGTTAGGTTAGGTTAGCTATTCCTGTTGTGAATGACGGTTTATACGATATTTGAAAACATACATACATACACAGTACATACATACATACACAGTACATGCATACATACATACACAGTACATATACACACATACAAATACACACATACACAGTTTAAACACCGTAATACAAGAGAGACCACGATGAATTTCCACAAACACACACACACAAACAAACAAGGATTTATTGGGTTAATTAGACCGCAATACTGATGTTCATAATTACCATTGATGACCTACAGACCACTTAACGAGACCATTGCTAATTGTAGTCTTTACGAATCACCTGAAGATTAGCCCCTCCGCCACACAGTACTAACCTGAAGTTCCACCCCTTAAAACCTGCCGCGCCTCACCCCCTCAAAATTAATCTTCAGGTGGTCCACAGTGATCTAAAATTACAAATGACCTCGATTACGTCACTGAATTAATTACACACACAGAGGTAAGGAGTCTGACGCACCATAAGGATTGTTGTTGTTCGGACAGAGACGGCGAGGAGGAGTGAAGGACGCGGGATGAATAACAGCTGGTACCCTTCACATGACCAACACACACACACACACACACACACACACACACACACACACACACAGCAGGGTCGGAGAAGGGAGATGAAACTTGGGGACTGGGGGGTGGAGGGTAACTCACAGGTTTGGAGGTAACTCACAGGTTTTGGGGGTAACTCACAGGTTTGGGGGTAACTCACAGGCTTGGGGGGTAACTCACAGGTCTGGGGGGTAACTCACAGGCTTAGGGCGGGGGTAACTCACAGGTTTAAGTGGGGGTAACTCACTTGATCGGGCAGGAAGTGAGCTGATAAATCTATTTACAGAGACGTCACTCCTTTGTCTCGGGTTGAGCTACAGGTAATTGAAGACATATCCTGCCTTGTTTGGGGTTAAGGAGAAGACAGAGTCCTACAAAGTCTCATAGAATCCTACACCCGGGCATACATAAACTGTTGAGGATTATATAACGTTTAAGGATAGTAAGTGTGGGGGGTAAGGAGTCCTACACGTCGTTAAACACTGAGTTACGGTCCTTCAAGGTATGGCCCCTCCCAGGTACCCCTCACCAGGTGTCAGAGCCCAATTAGTCAACCACAACACTTCACACCTGGACGATACTTAGCGAGATTTCGGCTTCTCGGTGACCTTGGCTAGTTCTCTTACCTGTATCTATCAGTACATCGATCAACTTTCAAATTCTGTTTATGAAAGTGGACGCTTGAGGCGACACACACACACACACACACACACACACACACACACACACACACACACACACACACACACACACACACACACATCCTCACTACAAAGGTTAAGCCAACTTACTTGGTTTACGAAGGTCTGGGAGCTGTGAAAGAGGGAGAGTGTTGGAGAGGAGAGAGTTGTGGTGATGGGGGGAATCACTGTTGGAGGCCACCTTATTCCCAGTGTTGGAGTGGCGCTCACTGGTGTTGGAGAGATGGTGGTGGGTTCTCTTACTCCCCCCGTGATGGTGATGCTCCTTGTTGGTGCTAGTGGAGGAGGACTGCTCGCCCTCCACCTCCATGCTAGGGTGGTGGTGGTGGTGGTGGGTGGCGCGAGGTCTCTTGCCTTCCTCCTCCTCTGCCAGCCCGTTGGTGTAAGTCTCTGTAATGGACAATAACAGGAGACCTTTAGACCTTTAGTACACACACACACACACACACACACACACACACACACACACACACACACACACACACACACACACACACACACACACTACCTATACAATATATCACAGGACGTCAGGCTCTTGTCACTCTCCTTCTCTGAGCTGTGCCTATCCTTCACTCCTATTCTTCCATCTCTCCTTCCCCTCACCCTCTTCTCTTCTATCATCCATCTTTCAATTCTATACACCATTCTACCCATCTTTATCCCCTTCTTCTTCCTCTCGCTCCTCCACACTTCTTCCATGCCCAGATAACACAAGGCTAAATCTTGTCAATAAAACATAATCATCAGAGAACAAAAACACCAGCAGCTCCCCCATTGGTCAAATAACAGTCACGTCGTCCACTCTCAACACTGTACTAGTCGACTAATACATGAAATACGGCTACAGTATAGTACAGTGCTTCCCCGGGTGTTGGCTGTACCATCAATCAGTATTAGTTTAGATTTGATAATAATCGATACAGGTATAGTACTTTCCATAGGTATAACAATTTCCATATTGCTTAGGTTAGCATTGCTCTAGTTAGGATTACAGTAAAGGTTCAAGTACAAAATACAGGTATACAAGACAGGTAGAGTACAGGTAATTATCAAGTGATTAAAGTAGCAGTGTGCACTTGACCTATAGACGAAGAGGAATGAATATTCAGTGGATAAAACCGCCACTTAACCACTTGTGTACGGAGTCACCTCTCACCTGGATACAAGTGGCGTAGTGAAAAACATAAGAACATAAGAATGGAGGAAACTGCAGCGGGCCTATTGGCCCATACTGGGCAGTCCCGTTTACACCCAACCCCTATTGCTCACATAAGCATCCAACCTATGTTTGAAGCTATTCAGCGTATTCGAGTTAATGATGATATTTGGTAACTTGTTCCATTCATCCACTACTCTGTTTCCAAACCAGTGTTTACCTGTTTCGCGTCAAAATCTAAATTTGTCTAATTTAAAACCATTGTTACGAGTTCGCTCCTGGTTGGATAGTTTGAGTACCTTTGTAATGTCCCCTTTGTTTAGCCATGACTTCCACTTATACACCTCTATCAGGTCGCCCCTCGAGACAATACCTTAACCTAACCCTTTACACAACAGGTATAGTATGTGAGGTGTGTGTGTGTGTGTGTGTGTGTGAACAGACATTGGTCACAATTCCGTACGGGCGAATACAAATTGGGAACTGCTCCCTCGGGTCTGTCCATGCCCGAGACTTAACTGACACTCTGCTCGTCATATTTGTCTGTCTGTCTGTCTGTCTGTCTGTCTATCTGTCCACCTCTCCCTTTTGTGTGTGTGTGTGTGTGTGTGTGTGTGTGTGTGTGTGTGTGTGTTAACAGACATTGGTCACAATTCCGTACGGGCGAATACAATTGGGAACTGTCCCTGGTCTGTCCATGCCCGAGACTTAACTGACACTCTGCTCGTCATATTTGTCTGTCTGTCTGTCTGTCTGTCTGTCTATCTGTCCACCTCCCTTTGTGTGTGTGTGTGTGTGTGTGTGTGTGTGTGTGTGTGTGTGTGTGTGTGTGTGTGTGTGTGTGTGTGTCTACCTCTGTGTGTGTGTCTACCTCCCTGTGTGTGAGTGTGTGTGTCTACCTGTGTGTGTGTGTCTACTTCCTGTGTGTGTGTGTCTGTGTGTGTACCTCCCGTGTGTGTGTGTGTTTCAGGCTCATCTCCCTGTTCGTTTGTGTGTGTGTGTCTGCCTCCCGTGTGTGTGTGTGTACCCATAAGGTGTGTGTCTGTGTTATCTCTCTCTCTCTGCATAAGTACAATGTCGGTGAGGTCAATTTTCTCTGTCCTCCCTCCCACCCACCTTTGTTCTCTCCCCCGCCCCCCCTTTCTCTCCACGCATAAATATAAGAGTTCAATTTAGCGGGTGATGCATGACGGATGCTCAAATACATACACATGAATGAGTGATGGCCTCCCCCAAGGACACACACACACACACACACACACACACACACACACACACACACACACACACACACACTTGCAGAAACGTAAGACATCACTGGCCGTTGCCCTTGTGGACTTCAGGAAGGCCTTTGACCTTGTTGATCACTGCACTGTTATCAACAAGGCTATTGCACCAGGGCTGCCCACCAACCTGGTCTCATGGCTCACTGATTTCTTGAGTGGACGTCGCCAGGCAGTGAGGTATCAGGGCTTGGTCTCTACATTCCAACACCTCACCTGCGGTGTTCCCCAGGGGACCAAGATGGGACCACTGTGCTTCCTCATCCTGATCAACGACGCTCTATCGGACACTCCTCACAGGTGGAAGTACGTGGATGACTGCACTGTGGGGGTTTCAGTGGACAACACCGCACCAGACTACTCATCGCTCCAAGGCACCCTGGACAGGCTACAGGCATGGACTATGGAGAACAAGGTCACCATCAACCACACCAAAACCGTAGTCATGCACATCAATACTGCCACCACTCCAGTGCAAGCCCCAGCAGTCACAGTGGGTGCCCATCCTCTCCAGCTGGTGCAGTCTGCCAAACTCCTGGGTGTAACTATAGACAACAAACTTGACTGGAAGGCCCATGTAAATAACACAGTCAAGGCAGTCTCGTACCGTCTCTACATGCTACGAAGACTTAGGTCACTTAGGACACCCACGACAGAGCTGAGGACCATCTACAACGCCTTTATTCTCCCCAAACTAACGCATGCGTCACCAGCCTGGTCGTCTTCTCTCAACTCCACCCAACAACGTCAGCTAGAGAAGGTACAGAAAAGGGCCTGCAGAATAATGCTCGGCGCAGAATACTCCGGCTACACCAATGCTCTCTCCACCCTGGAAATGCCATCCCTCAGTGACCTCCACCACCAAGCACTGGAAAGGTTTGGCCGTGGACTACTGCACCACCCTCGCCATTGCCACCTCCTGCAGCCCCCCACCCAACTCGCGCAGTCCGCCACTACAACAAAATACAGCCCATAAGAGCCCGCACTGATAGATATAAGAACAGCACCATCCCATCTATTGTTAAAATAATAAACAACTCCTGATTTATGTACTGTACAGCCCTGTAAATGTATTCAATGCATATTATATCATTATGTCTAAATCAAATGTAAGTCTGTATATTTTCAGCCACCGGCTGCAACTCTATTAATAAACCGTTTATTATTATTATTACACACACACACAGCTCCTCAGTGTTTACACAACATTCATACTTCCCAAGCTCACCTATGCCTCCCCTACCTGGTCTTCCTCCCTAAATGCCACACAACGTAAACAGAATACACCTAGAAAAAGTGCAAAAGAGGGCATGTAAGATTATTCTCTCCCCTTCCTACTCCACATATCAAGAAGCGCTCAACACACTGACCCTTTCGACTCTCGCTGACCATCACCACGACCTCATCTGCAAATTTGGTAAGAAGCTTCTACACCATCCTCGACACCGGCTCCTACTACCACCTGAGATCCGTAGCCCGAGAATTGCTGTTCGACACCACAACCGCATCCAGCCCATACATGCACGAACTGATCGCTATAAGAACAGCCCAGTCCCAACCATTGTAAAAATTATCAATAACTTGTAATAAACCAGTGTATTCACTCCCAGTAAATACTACTTCTTGCACTGTCACTATGTTGAAATGCACTGTAGTTTGAGCTTTTCCCCATCTAGTTATTATATATCTTATTTGTGTCACTTATGTTACTTGTATATTATTTGTAATTCGAAACCCATTCCCCAAATATGTAACTGTATATTTTCAGCCTTCTGACTGCCAAGCTCTTTCAATAAACCGTTAATTATTATTATTATTATTACACACACACCTTCCACACGCAGTACTCAACCTTCATTATATCTTTCGCTTCAATAGATAGTGAAAAACTGTCAATGCTTACAGTGTTATTGGTAGACAGACAGACAGACATCAGACAGCTTTCACAATACAATATTTTTTCCCCTGAGGATAGAGGTAACTGTCACGCTCACAATACTATCACAGTTACAGACAGACAGACGGACGGACAAGCACAGAGACGGACGGACAGGCAGGAGACATCACACAAAACTGTCACAGTACAATACACTCTACCTTACTGTCCTCACCAACCCATCCTTTAAAACACACAGACGCACACACACACACACAGATGCACACACACACACACGAAAAGAACAAGTTAGTGGGTGGTAGGGTCGGGTCTTCAGGTAGGGTGAATCGGGTCTTTGGGTGGGGGCAGGGAGGAGGGGTTGAGGGTGGAACAGGCGACTCTCTACACCCCCCTCCTCTTGGCATATAATAACAGAGCCATTATAAAAATAATCTCGGTTCAATAACGTTCAAACTTCCTCTCTTGTTTTGTAGCTTATGGTGGCGAGTCTCTACCACATCCCCCCCATCACATCCTGCCACATCCTCCTCCTGCCGCCACACCACACCCCCCCTCCCTTCCCCTGCTCACGTCACCTCCCCCGCCACGTCACCTCCCTTCCCCGCCACCATCCCTTGTCTCTGCCACACCACCTCCTCCCTCGTATGCTATGGCTCTCAACGACACTCCTGGGCAAGGTGTTGGCGATGGTTGTTGTAGTTTAGTCGTGGTGGTGGTAGTAGTAGTAGTAATGGTGGTGACACGTAGGTAAGTAGGAGTGAGATGATGATGATGATGATGATAACGACGACGATGATAACGACGACGATGATGATGATGAATGACCACACAAAAACTCAAGACATGAACCTGACAACCTTAGCTAACAGCAAACACTAGACCTGAGACATTACGACACGACAGGCGAGTGTTGTGGAGAGCGCGCGCACACACACACACACACACACACGCACACACACACACACACACGCGCACACACACACACACACTTGTTACTTTCTAATAAAATAATAATTATAAGGGAATTGTGTTTATACGACTTTTCTTTCTG